CTCATCGAGGGAGGGGTTTGACTATGACTGGCCTCTTTTTTCTCTTCAATTGCAGCTGCCTCTCTTTCTATAACTTATTGAGCCATGAACACAATTTCAGACAATATGATTTTAATGACAGCAAATAAAACTTCAGACATCATTGAGTTCAACACTTTCATTGAAATAAAAACAAAGCCATTTTAAGTAATGAGTAAATTACTTACTTACAAATGTCTATCCACTAGCCAATGTAAAGCTTTTCGAGGTAATTCTGATCTAATGTAGCTGTCTATAAAACAAAACAAAATATCTTATTTTTTAATGGTAAATGTTTTATGGAGCTAAAAAATGGAGCTATGTAATGATATGTTAATTGAGTAAAAAATAAAAAGTGATATTGTAATGAATGTACATGCACATATGCTTCGGATAGTAGATATCGAATGGTCACATTTTCTGATGTAATGGAACAGTAATTAAACACCAGTTGTAGTTCTAGCAGAAAATCCATTATTGTTCCCGCATTAAACTGGTCTGGGATATGCAAATTTATCATCAGTCAGTCCTCCTTTCATTTGTAGATCATCAGTTTTCACTGCTCAACCTTCAGTGTGAAGTTTGTTGCGTAACGTACCTCTCGAGAAGTTTTCATTCCAGTGGAGACGCCACCCCATGCCGAGAAGTGAGCACCTACTGCGACACAGGACCTCGGTTTCATTTGAATATCTCTTCCTTATTGAATATAAGACCTTGTGGAGGCAGCTACTCGTTCTCGCCCTCTCTCCAGGTCATAATATTAATCGGCCGTAGATATGTCATGGGCCATATGCACAGCAAGGTCTGCTTCCTCTTCATAGGTGTGCCTGCCCTGACGATGATAGAAACCACTGCCTTGCAGATTGTGCCCAACCATGGTAGTTTCTCCCGGATTTCAGTGGCAAACTCCACTGATGATTTATATGCCGGACCACATCAGGTGTTAACTTCCGTCCTTTCATATTAAAGAAATGCGTTTTGGAGGTCGCAATGTGGCCTGAATAAAAAATCTAAGCATCCACAGATGTTGAGAAGTGAATGCTATAAGGCAAGCTTTGTTTTTAACCTTGTGGTTCGAAACTCTTGGAATGTAAACCTCGTTATGATTTTTAGCCTTTGAAAATTCGTTTTCTGTGAGGTTACATAAGTCACCAGCCATCTTGGCATTGGAGAACCAAATCTCCAGAATCAGGAAACTGCGGATCCTGTTGTAAGAGTCCAATTCGTAAGCCCGTTTAAAGTTCAATACTTCAGCGACTTCCCTATAGGTTTGGGGACGGAAATAGCCTTTGACATGAAGGGCTTGTGGGATGTCTTCCTCGGTCACAGTACGTGGCCGTTCTTCAGGGGCACTGGCACGCAGTTGTTTTGCAAGGTTTGAATGAACCCTGTGGACGTACGTGCTTAACTGCAAAAAGTCCCCTATTGTTATCCAAGGTCTAACTAGCTTCCAGTCATGACCAAAGAAAATTTAAATTTAATGGCTGCATAGGCTACGGTACCGAGCTAAGATCGTACCGTTCTTTTGGCTTGTCGGAGACTTTACCCTTATCCCGTAGCGACATGAAATGGCATAGTTGTGGGTAAGAGTGCTGTGTCGCCGCTAGTTTGAACTATCAGATCCAGGATACGCCCTATCATCATTTATGTATTGGCTGCTTGCGCAACCGGTGCATTAGAGCCACCCAAGCTGGTCAGCAAGGTTTCAAACTTCTCCAGTAACCTCTCCTTGTAATTTGCACCGGCTGCTTTGCTAGGGCTACCCAGACTGCAGGGAGAACCGTTGACTGCTTGCGAGCTAATCTGTATTAAAATTTTTGTGTTGTTTTGAATATAACCATCTACCAAATTCTGTTTTTGTTTTTACGCCGTTGAAAACTTTTTCTCTAAAACCGCAGGTCTTGTGACAAGGTGCCTTTTCATAGCATTTTTCTTTCGAATCGTACTTGTTACAATTATTGCATCGTGTGCCACAAGAATCACATTTCAAAGTGATGTTCACGTCTTCAATACACATTTAGCAGACTTTACGCGCAACGACTAAGTTGAGAAGATGCTCGCATTTACCGCACCATGATTGTGAGCAGTTTACACATAAAGTACACGCGACACATTTCATATCATTTTCCTTGCAATCTGGACAGTCTGGGTTATATTTTGAAACATAACCTTCTGAGCACTGTTGCATCGAATCTTCTTGAGTACATTCAAAATCAAAGAAGATGAATCTAGGGTCAACTTCTTTACATTCTTTTGCACGTATGTAACATTTATGGTTATTGTCGACATATCTGTCACAACTTTTACATAACCGTTCCCCACAAACATGAAGATGTGGGTCACGCTGTTTTCTATCGAGTGTTGTAAAACATTTTGTGCATTTCCACCAACGTTCACATGAGGGTTCTTTTTGCTTTCCATGTATTTGTAAATGACTCTTAAAACAATCCAAAGATCTGCATGTCATGTGACAATGAATGCAGCTCATCTCACAACCTGAAATCTGACAAGGGCTTTTACGTTTACAGACAATACATGATTTTTGACACTGGTGGTTATTTTTGTATGGCTTAAGACAATTATGACAAAATTTTGTATTTTCGAAAAATCCGCAAATATTGACAATGGCGTGAAAATGGGAATACGATCCTTCATCTTCCACAAGATACAGAAATAGCCTCTGTTTTGTGCTTTCTCCGGGAGGAGTACGTGTAAACCTATTTTCCCCCGCAACCAAGATGTCTACCCCTAATAAATTCTCGAAAGCCGGAACATCTGTAAGACCTAACTTGCGATTGATGGGTATGTTACCTCGATGACAGAGGGCATGTGTCAATTTAGTCTGCCAATTTCCCGTTTGATCCCTTCGCTTTAGCTTTGAATTATGCCACACAGGACATTTTTACACGTTGCACAACATTTTCCTCCCTCCATTTTCTGATTACTTTTATCATTTATCAATTGCCTCTATACCTCTGTAGAGACTTGGTTTGCTGCGACAAACCCCAAGATTATGACAAGGGCCATACACGTGTAGTCATCGTTGATTATCTCTACAATTGATCTCTTGGAACGGATGGAACTATCAGGACCCGTAATAGCATGTATTGCATTGCCTTAGCCTCTTGTGAAAATACATATAAATACATCTAGCCAGTTATGTGTAAAAGCAATATCAAACATTTACAACTGTTTTTTTTTTGGTATATGAATGTCTCTATATGTTTATTTAATTTCTTTGAAAAAAAAATATAAATCATACCCGAAGGAATTTGTATCGTTCCGACATCTATGTATAAACTGTGATCAAGGGGGAGATCTTCGTGGCTCGTCAGCACATTTTCTATATGATTCATGACCAACTCTGATGAAACGTCTCCAATGGGCCTGTGAGGGACATAGATGGCATTGTCTAATTGATCATGATTGATTCGAAATCTAATTAAATCGCTAGGACTAAGATCGCTTGTGGTATCCCTTATAATATCCCCAAACATATTCTGTAGCTGTTGCGTAATGTCTTTGATTTTTTGCCTACGTTCTCCATTAAATTTTACTACGAAATGTCTATCAATTGCAGAATTCTTTTTCAGAGTTTTCTGGTTTATTTTCTTAATGTTGTTATTGTTGTAGGACATCAAGTCTCCGCCGCCTTTCTGGTTTGTTTCTACATTTCTATGCATATTCTGATGAAAGCTGAATAACTCTACTTGATTACCGGGAAAAGAATTTAAGCACCATCTGCAGACGTGCTTGATCTGTAATGTCTTTCTCATTGTTATCTTCTTCTCCTCTTGGATGGTATTTCTTGCTCCAGCTGATCTAACCTTTTGTACTCTCTCATGGGCACGAAAAGACGAATAATTAGGGAATCTCTTTAAACATCTATGACAGGTGTACTTTGCTTGCCGTGGGTCCATCTAAAACGTTGATATACAAAAAAAATCGCATCTTTGTTTTCAGTACATTTTAGACTATAGTTTTCGTTGATCTACATATTTTCAAGAATACCATGTTATCATCATGGTTATTATCTTAAATTGTAGCGTATTATCAAATTCAACACCTGAGTTCACTGTTGGGCTTAAAAACACCACAGTGTTTATATATATATATATAGAGAGAGAGAGAGAGAGAGATCTTAAATTTACACTTTATATTACAGTTCTCCTTGACCTATATGAATATAAGACTAACGTCTTATCACTTAATGAGAGCAAAGTCACATCTCTCAATCATTTAATACCCAAATTCTCAGTTATATTTTATTAATTAATAATTGATCGATCATTGCACTATATTAGAAAAATCTTACTGACCAAAGAAAAAAAATGTATGACTTAAATCAGATATGTCTATATCTGGCATATATGCCATATGTATCGGATATGTACAGTATAAATTCTTTCAGAATCTAAACAATAATTGAAACTATAAATAACAATAATTTGTTACATTGTTAAAAAATGATAAATTGAGATTGAAAAAAAAAAAATAATAATCAATAGGTAATGTTGTAAAATATCTAATAATCTACAAACTACAAAATATTGTGTAATATTTGGGAAACACTAAAGAATCCAACAAACACGTGTGCATCCTGATGCTGACATTTTTATTCTGTAATCGTATTTATCCGCTTAGACAAAGCATGTGGGATAACCGCGGGAAATTATTGAATACTTGGGTTGAACATTACACAATTAAAAAATAGTTCCATTAAAATAGTAACAATCATGTAAATGAATAATATGCAGTTATTACATTCCTCCTTTTCTCAGAAATAAAATTTAACAATTGAAATAGATTAAAATTAACAGCAAACAGATTTTTCATATAAAGTTAAACAAAATTTAACACAACTAGAAAATGTTTTCTTTTACAACTTTGAATACTGACTAAAATTGCAAATTGAAAGTCTCTGCAAATTGACTAGTATCTTTACACACATCACAGACAGTATGACAGTTTATTTTACAAAGTCAAAAAACTGCAGGCTTCCTCACGATTCGACCCGATCGTGTAATGTACGGTTCAGTTACATTGCTGGCAGGAGTCGTACGTTTGTCTGAGAACTGAACTGTTGGTTTCGATTTCGGTATAGTTTCAGGTGCCAAAGTCGGAGCGGCGTTCTGCATAGGCATCGATTTTGAGTCACTGATTGGTACTTGTTCATCCTTGCGCTCGAGGATCAGCTCTTCCCCTTCAGCGACTTCTGGTTCCACGGAACCAGGTGCGAGAGTGTTAGGAATTCTCTTGAAGCATGATGTGTTTCGAGTAACGTTTTTCTCCATTCCAGATGTGGAAGAGACGGTCACCATACCTCCCTTCTTGGCCACGACATTATAAGGTTTAGGATCAAGATTTGGGGCGAGTTTGTTGTTCTTCTGCTCGTTTTTCATAAGGACTACATCACCACAATGGATATCATTAGGCGAGTTGTTAAATGTTGCATTCTGTTTCATCTTCCGTTTCGCAACTTCATCGTTCTGTCTGGCACACTCGTCAACAGCATTCGGTTTGTATGTCGGAACTTGAGGAAGTTTGGTCCTAGTTTCACGATTGAACAGAAGTGAGAATGGAGCAAATCCGGTCGATGGGTGAGGTGTTCCTCTATACTGGCGAAAGAATTTGAATGGCTCTTGCTGCCAGTTCCTTCTTTCAATGCGTGCGGCAAGAACAGCTTTCATCATTGGCTTATTAAACGATTCAGCCTGGGAATTAGTTTTCGGCCATCTTGGAGTGATACGTCGATGATGGAAACCAGTGTTCTCGGCGAACTCCTTAAATGCATGGGAGTTAAACGGGCTTCCATTATCCGTTTTTATGACTTTTGGTAAGCCAAATATAGAGATCAATTTGTCCACTATTGGGATGGTTTCATTGGCTGAAGTAGATTTCACGATTTCAACGACAGGGAATCGCGAGTATTCATCAATCACAACAAACAAATATTCACCTGTGGGAAGCGGGCCACAAAAGTCGGCACTAAGGTTCTTCCAGGGTCCAGACGGCATGTCTGACACCTGCAGGGGTTCAAAACGAATCTGCTTGTCTGTTATACTTTGACATGCTAGACAGTGTTTCAGCGCATTCTCCACAGCATCGTGCAGGCCTGGAAACCATGTTTTGGACCGCAAAAAATGCCTTGGTACGACTTCCACCTTGGTGTCCCTCTTGAGCAATATTGACTACACGTGCTCTCAGTGACTTCGGTAGAACGATACATCCATTTCGTAAAAGAACGTTGTCCGAGTAAACGACCAATTCATCACGGACGTTACGTAGAGACTGCATTTCCAGTATATCGATCTCTCTATCATTCAGGGATTTGATTTCCTTCCATCTACCCGTGCAAACCAAATCTATTGCCTTCAAAATGGTTTTATCTGTACTGTTTGCTAGCTTTACTTCATTTAAGCTCATTGACCTAAGTGTTGCTTCATGTGCCACGAAGTGCCGGTATTTTTCTACCATATCCTCCTCTCTGGACGTAGTGTGGTTCTCAACAGGATGACGTGACATGTAGTCAGCTGGGTTGTCCTTGCCAGGTCGGTAAGTAATTTCTAGCTTGTACGGTTGAAGTCTAAGTCCCCAATGTTCAATTCTTAGTGGAGGTTTAGGGCGTTTCCAAATAGTTAGCAGAGGTTTGTGTGGTGCACCTCTCAGGTACATATCAAAATGTTCACAAGCCCAGATGATGGCCAACGCCTCCCTCTCCGTCTGACTGTAGCGCGACTCTTGTCCACTCAGTGATCGGCTTGCGAAAGCAACTACATTGTCCTCTTGTGTAAGTATAGCCCCTAGGCCAACAGGGCTGGCGTCAACCACAACTTCGATGGGTTTATTCGGTTTTAGTAAGCAATCACAAGGTCACTAGACAACAAAGTTTTAAGTTTTTCAAAAGCACTCTCTTGTTCAGACGTCTATTGCCAGTCAGTATCCGAGCGAGTAAGACGGCGCAAAGGTTCACTCACGGTGGAATAGTCAGGAATGAATCTCGAACATTAGGCAGTCATTCCCAAGAAACTCCTAATTTCAGTTACGTTTGACGGCCGCTGTGTTTCTCGAATCGCTGAAACTTTTCCAGGGTCAGGTGAGATGTCAGCCTGGACATAGACACAGACAAGAAACAGGTCATAGAGGCACACTGCGATTGTAAAGCAGGGTAATGTAATTATTTTATGACTGACCATTATTTTCACATTTAACCCAATTTAATCTTTAGCTCTATCTAATATGAACTCCCAAGGGATGACTCATTAAATACTCTTAAAATGTAGTTCCAGTGGCAAGTGTGCACATGTGCTTGCACTTATAATGATGATCGAGTCTTGGAAAATTAATGGATATAAAGAGATACCAGCTGAACCATCATCAACTAGTCTACCACAGCAGTGGGACAAACCCAGAGGACCCAAAGTTTTACCTGAGCCTGTGTCTCAGATGATTATTTCAAGACCAGGGAATATCAACACAAAAAGAAAGCCTATTATAGCAAAATATAATGACAAAGGTACACATCAAATGTCATTTATTTATGTTTTTTTAAATTCTAAAACAAAGCAATAAGCTATTTTCATTACACGCCTTTAAGAAATACTAAAAAATAAACAAACAATAATATTAAAATTTTTCAACAGAAAAATATAGGTAGAAGTCGATCACATTCTTTTATTAAAGAGACAAAGTGTCTGCTCCTATCTCCTATCTTGTCACAACACCAAGATCATGTTCAATGGTTGATGCTGGTCCTTCAAAACAACCCCTTGGATCTTGGCTATCTTATCACGTATGTACATGGACAATTAAAATTGAAATAATATTTACATCCACTGAATATTTTCTCCTTTATTTCTTAAGAAATATCAATCAGTAAAGATTGCAAAGCATATCACCTGTATAGATTTCTTGAGCAGTGGCTCTTCCATCATTGAAACATACACTGACCGTACATATCATTAATACAATATTGAATCTACAGTACCGACCGGACACAACCTAACACCAGAGCGAACCCAAAGCGAACCCCGGGTTCGCTTCCTGGGTTCGCTCGGGGTCCGCTGCGGGTTCGCTTTCAGAAAATTTGGGACCGCTCTGGGTGCGCTTCGGGTTCGCTCGGGGTCAGCTCTGGGTCCGCTAGAGCGAACCCGGCGTTCGCTTTCTGGGTTCGCTTTACGCACTCATGCGTGAAGCGGACCCCGCTTTAATCTTGCCGCCAGTAAGCCCCGCCCCTTGTATATTCCAAATATAGTAGTGAAATCGATCATCACTGTTTTTATGGCGATCGAAATATGTACATGCAAGTGACAATATGGAGAACGTTGATAATTTTTCAAGAATTCCACCGTACATTCGACGTAGAATTATCATTTTATTTTCTTAACTTACAAGCTAAGTATATCTCGAAAGAAAAAAAAAGAAAAGGTGTTAAATTTATTTTCAATATATCGGATGGAGTGAAATTGATAAGAGTATCTTAATAAAAAAAGCTTTCAAATTCATTTTTTTATATTATTCATGCGTTTTTAAATAAGTTGGAACTTCCAATTGTAATTGCAATTGCTAAATCGTAATTGAAATGTTTGAAAGACAAACAACTGAATTACGATCTTATCTATAAAATAGCTGTGACATACTGTACACGTAAAATGCTAAGTTTTCATATTTAGCAGTTTATATTTAAGCTAGGTTGTCGTCCATTACATGTATATGTAGGTCGTAATAATCACTAAAAATTCTCATACAGTGTAACTTGAGTTTCGTTATAATACAGATCATTTATAATTTACTTCCATGCTATAAATCATTGTTTTATAAGGCGAGTTTAACTGAAGACCTATAAAAAAAAAACAACAACAACAACAATCAAAAAAAACCAAAACAAACAAACAAAAACTAATAACTGGTCCACTGATAAGAATATATTATTTTTTTTTGTTTTCAAATACATGTAAATGATCACTTGAATAGTTTGTGTTCCTTACTGGTTCATGAACCCCCCCCCCCCCAATCGCCCCACTACGTACATGTACATACTGGAGCGGCATGTTAACAAACAATTTAAAAAAACCCACCGCAATTGCTCTTAATACCCGCAATATTTTCGAAACAGGTGGATGATTACCGATACGTGATGACCTTGGCTTCACTTTGAAACTACAATTATTAAAGTGTTGAAATTAAATAATTATGACAATTACAAAGTACAAATACAGGTACCTATGTAATGAAAAAATATATGTATGAAGGTATCTTTGCAAGTTCAATTTACTAATGTTGGAATTACGTGTACTTTTCATGCACAAGTACAAAACGTACCCGTCTAGTATATTTTTTATGTTCATATAAAGTATTTCGAAAATTACATGTAGTACTTGTAAGAGGTTCATGAACATGTAAAACCTGTATAATTATATATATCGACGCGAAGGAAAGTGATAAGCATTTTTTTTTTTGACTGACTTGCAAGTAGTTACAAAAATTCAAGAACATACAATGTAAGGTCTACATGTAGGATAATTAAAATTGACAAAATAATTTTTCCCTGTATACATGTATTTAAATCAAGCTATTTATCAAATTTTGGTAAAAGATTAATTAAAAAAAATATCATAGTAGCTAAATGAGATTTTCTTTCTCCAATTTACGTATTGACATAATGCACACTTATCCTGTACAGTGTACATTTAATTTTTTTTCATGATCAATTATTAAGATCGATAATTTTGAAGTTGATCTGGATAAATTAAAACGTGCATGTAAATTGAAATAATTAATAATTAATAAAAAATAATTAAATTAAAGTTCTTATACTGTATCTTGAGATAACAAAATTCTATAATTTATCGAAGACCATTTTTTTCTTTGTTTTTTAAGTAACATATGTTATAACCATTATTAGCTTCTTTTTTTCTATTATAAATTAAAGTACTTATTGTCTGAAAAGTTGACGCAATGTATATTTATATATTAATGGATTATAAAAATATAAAGAAAATAAATTTTTACCTATACATGTAATATGCTACCTGGATAATAAAAATATATAATGTATCAATAGATTTTAAAAATAAGAAATAATGAAAATAGATGTGTAAATATTGCATGTTGTCTGGAGAATTAGAGTATATAAATGTAAAATCATGTTTAAAAATCATATTAATAATATTTTTACACTGTATATTCACACGCTTTGTTTGTACATGTTTAGATTATAAACTGGCATGTTGACTGGTCGATGCGCTGATGGTCAACACATTTTATCACTTATCCTGATTGACAGACCTGTTCAGCATGTTGATTGGTCGAAGCGCTGATGAATTAATCGATAATCCTGATTGACAGCTCTGTTACGCAATACCGAACGCGCGTTCGCTTTCTGGGACCGCTACTGAATTTGGGGTTCGCTTTCAGCGTTCGCTCTGGGTCCGCTCTGGGTTCGCTGCGGGTTCGCTATGGGTGCGCTCCGGGTTCGCTCGGGGTCAGCACTAGCGGACCTCAAGCGAACCCGAAGCGAACCCGGGGTGCGCTCTGGGTTCGCTTTCTGTTAGGTTGTGTCTGGTCGGTACTGTACTTCATCGTACTTTAGATGATTATTTGTACAGATATAAATATAAACAATGAAATGTCTTTCTTTCTTTACTAAAATTAAAATTTACATTGAAGCTACTGCAGAAAAAAATTACATAATATGTCACATTTAACTAATCATAATATATTCTGTTAGTCCTGAATTAAAAAAGGGATAAAATTCGTCAAAAAGCAACATACAAACCAAATTTGATTGATTGAACTGAATAAACTAAGGTCTACTCTTTTATCCAAAATTTTAAATTTGTTCACTCTGGCTATAGCTCTTTCTACATGAACTCGATGAGTAGCCACTTTCTCTGTCATTTTACATCTGATGGTTTCATCTGACCAGAAGTAGGAGCAAAAGGTGGACAATTAGACTGTAAACCCAATTTTTCTATATCTTTTTCAATTCTAAACCCTTATCAGCCATTACTCCATCCCCCTCATTGATTTTACCAGCAGTAAATTTAAAAATCCACTTTGAATTGTGATATCATTATCTGACACTGAACCAGTGAATAACATTGAAGCAAAAATGATAGATCCTCTAGGATCAATACCAACAAGCCCTTTCAACGTTGTACTAGATTTATAATCTGAGTAACACTGGCTTTGCTTACTTAAAGAACTATGTCTCTGAATTTTCAACTCAGTGTCATCAATAATGACAAGTGTATTTGGAAATTCTTCTTTAAATTTTGGGGGCATGTTTTGAATGATAACTTCCCTATTTGGCCAAATGGGTACAGAACCGAAACGATAAAACAAGAAATTTATCCATTTAGTAAAGACAGTGCTGCAGTCCTGAGGTGGAATTCCAAAGAGTCGTGATATGTGTTTAAAGTCAAAGTTTTGTCTTAATTTTATTAGAATCAGTAAAAATTGATCTTTAAGTGGAACATTTTTCAAGCTACTTGAATATTGAAATGGTTCATCAACAGGGCATAAAAATTCAAAAATAACATTAAAAACCCGGGCAGGAAAACCAGTATAATACTTGAACTCATCTGTTTTGTTATTGCATTTGAGATTATGACATCTTATATATGACTGACTCTGCACCTTTTCTTCAAGATCTCTGTTCTTCCTAATAAGGTCTCTTTTATCATTTAAGAGAGAAGCAACTTTCTCGTTTAGCTCTCTATTCTCTGCTACAAGTGCCAAAAATTCCAAACTGTTGGTCTCTGAAAATAGAAAGTTAAAAGCATGAAGTATATTTTCAAGCAATATATTTATTTTTAGGCACCTTTAATCAAACCCCTATTTGAACCTAGACCAGAGGGGGCAGATGTCTGTGGAAACACTGAGTTTCCGAAGCCCTATTCCAACTTGAATTATGACACCATCAGAAGCAATGATCATTGGAAAGACCTAGCAATTTCCCAAGAAAGAGCGATGGAGATTGAAAAGGAAACAAGAGGACAGACAGCAAGTCCAGCATGGTTTACCCAAAGAGAGGAAGAATTACGGCGTCAAATTTTGGTCTGATTATGAACAGGAAAAAAGAAATAACTGATGCATTTCTAAAAAACACCTTTGATAAAAAATCCTTCACATCAGCTCCAACTTCATATGGACAAGCAAATGAAAAAACAGCTAAACAAATGTATATAAAAAGCTCAGGGAATCATAAACATGATATCGGATTGGTCATAAATCCACTTTTTCCTTTTTTGGGTGCAACACCGAATGCAAAGTTTTGTGAGAATTCTATAACAGGTATTGTTGAAATCAAATGCCCATATTCAGTGAGAGATATGAGCATGGATGAGGCTTGTGAAAAGCAAGATTTTTTTTCTTGAAAAATCACGTTCAAAATACACCCTCGAAAGAAATCATTGTCATTGGTATCAAATGCAAGGTCAGCTTATGATCACTGGTGCTCCATTCTGTGACTTTATTACTTTTACAAGACAAGAATTAAATATTGAACGAATTCACCCATGTATAGATACAATGAATATGTTGTTAAAGAAAATGAGTGATGTTTATGTCAATAATGTAAAGCCTTACTTTGAATCTAAGAATCAAGATTAATATTGTTACCTTGAAATCCAACAGAACTTTGCTGGGTATCACTGTCACAGGTAGTTGTTTCAATGTCTACGTTTACATCATTTTCAGACAAAGTGTACTCTGCATCCTCTTGATGATTACTATCAGCTGAAACCCTGTGATAAAATTGAATTTAAATAATTAATCTATTTATTTACCAAGGCCTATCTGTTTGATCAAAATAATCAATATTTTGATAATGTTCAAGATTTTGTCTGTAGACTGATGATTCTTATTACTTTTACATGAAATATAAAGTTTAACATACCTTAACACTCTTGCTTTTTTCTCTGACACTAGTGTGGTAATTCTGTGTGATGCAAGTCATCGTTCCGGTGCTGGATGGCTTGGCGTAGTAGTATTATCATGGGGTAATGCTAATATAGGGTCTGGGAATTTTTCAGATGGTTCACCATTAATGAAATGCTGCACATTATTATGAAATATTTATAGGGTATTATAGCTGATTGCACATTACTGATAAAGGTAAAATTTAAAAATGAATTGATAATTAGAAATAAATTGATTTAAATTTAACAGACATAAACCAATGCTTTATACCATCTTCACTGATTTACTCCTATAATGTGATAAACTCTATAAATGTACTAACAGAATAGTAATATTCAAACAAATCATGAAGTTTGGGTAATCCAAGCTGATCTTAATGAATTACCTTGGTACACACATAAAAGTGTTTTGATTTATTTCTATCTCGAAGAACTTCCTCGTTCAGTTGATAGGCCGGTCTGCCACACATGCGTATCCACCGTTTACATTTCTCAAGATTAGTCGCAGGTTTGGGGAAAGGAATGAATTTAATCCCACCAGTTAATCTCTCAGGATATCTACTATCTGTGTTGCATGTGATATAGTTGTAAGCGTATATAGTGTTATTAAAAATTCTTCTTCTGATGATGACGTCGGGGTAGAATGCCTTGGATCGATTGTTGTGGTGTCTGGACTATAAAGAGGGGAGAGAGGGATGCCGGGTGGGTGATACTGTGAACGTCTTCGTGCCCTGATGAATATATTTATTGTTACAGATACTGCATCTATAACAATAAAAAAGATTAGGGCAATGAAAATCCAATCTGTAAAAAAAAAATATATATATTTTTTAAAAATCAATGAGGATTAAATAGTCACCCTGTATAAACATATATAATACCATGCATGCTTCTTTTCAGTTTTTTTTTTTTCTTTCAGATTTTAAACTATCATTGTCAGAATTATTTAATGCTACCTGTTGAATCAACGATAATATTCACATTTATTTTAAAATAAAATTATCTTCTAATTTTATTAAAAAAATTGAAATATATTACCGTTGATAACTCTAACTCTTAACAAAGAAACCAATTTAGAAATGAAAGGAAGAAATTACCTTCAATTAATGATGAATCTACAGAATGTTGATGTGGCGTATTTGTAGATGGAGTATATGTAAGTGACGTGAAGATGTCCTGGGTTAATGGATTCGTCGATGAAGTTTTTGTAGGTCCTTTTGGTGTAGATGGAAATGTAGATGGAGATGTTTTTGGCGAATGCTTAGATGGTGTTTTGACGAAAGCGTCGGTCGTAGGAAACAAAGTTGGGTTATCTGTAAAAATAAAAATAACATACTTTTGTCAACATTTTTTTATTTTAATTGTAAATATAACAAACTTAACAATTTTTTTTTTCAAGTTTCTTTGTATGAAATTTTTCATGCAATCTTTATATTTACATTTGATTAAAATTAGATTGTGCTCTTCTTTTATTTACAATCATTCGGTGTATCAATACAATTTAAAGTTTCTCTGTATGGATCTTTCATGTAATCTTGTTGAGCTTGTTCAGAACCGAATTTACAAAATGAATTTAATTTCCGATTTTTTTTTTTTTTTTTTTTTTTTTTTTTTTGGAGGAGGGGGGGGGGGGGGGGGTGGTTGTTGTAAAAACACTAAAGTTATCTAGGGTATTATCTTACATTGAAAATATTTGTATTCACTGTCATTGCAGTCACAGTAACAGATACTTTTATAGTTATCTGCCCTTGTTTCTGGTTTATTTGATTTTAACTTTCACTTTCAATGTAAACACGCTTTAAGACTGTTTAGGATTGTTTGATAAAGAAATGATTTAAAAAATTGATTAATAATTTAATATACAAAATGAAAAGGACAGGAGTACTTTGGAGTTGATTATTTGTGAGGGTATATATAAGCGGTCATCTAAAACTATATCGCGTAAGGACAACCACCCATGCAAATTTAATTGCTTCAGCCCCACTACCCATAAAAAAAATATATGAAGTGCCTTCCAGCCCCCCGCCCCCCATACATTTTTTCCTGGATAGCCCTAAAGAGAATTGTGTAAAAACAACCAAATAAGAACTGGGTACATTCTTCAAAAACATTCTGTGAAAGGATTACCAAAAATGTTCACATTAGATTTACAAAAAATGTTTCAAAGTCTGCAAGAGCAAAAGAAATTATAGGTAACTAAACATATTGATTTTTTTCATGAACAAGAGTGTTCACATAACTGCACAAACAGGATGCATTTGAGAACTGCGTCTTCATTGTACAATGTTAATGTTAGACTTGAGCATTATGTATGAGCATGATATTTTGCAAATCAAGTTACTGAGTTTATGAAATATCAGATCTCTTAGTTGGACGAGTCAGTTGTATCTGACACAGTTAAAACTAAATACAAGTCCATAGGACATGAATGTTGCACGCAAGGTTCATTAATATCAAGTAAATGAAATAGTTTTGTTTTTGAAAGTGCACTTACCAGAAATTTAAGAAAAGCAAGGTTATCAGAGAAGTTGGTCAAAGAAATTTTGTGCACTTGAAAGCTTTTACCCATACATATTGGGAAATGGGGTTTGAAAGAAATAAATTGATATCTTTCTTTTAAATAGAGCTGAATTCATAAAGAGATAAAAAGGTCAGGAAAACTGAGGGATGGAAGACAGGCTGGACCAAATACAATATGGCCTGAAAAATTTAGTCCATTTTTGATTTCTTTGCAGGGTTGATCTTTTGTCTGAAAAATTGAAGAAATTATGAATGAACATTAAAGTACCATGATAATACTTATGAAATTTTGTCAAAATATATTCCTTTAAGAGCTTCTTTAAAACTAGATTAAAATTAGAATGTTTAAGTTTTTTATAATGATAAGTCTGGAAGGCCAACATTTTTTTTTTTACTTATAGGTTTACAAACCCCCTGCTGAAGTTTTTGAATTTGCAGAAAAAAAAAATAAAATTGACAAAAATGGGATTCTTTTTCTTTGCGATGTTGAATTTGAGTTGGGATTGAGATTTCAAATTTACGAACTCGTACTTCCGATTAAAGATAAATATGGTGGGTAAATTGAGTAGATCTGTAGGGTGTATAGCAGCATCACAGCTTGGTGTAGGGTAAAAATTATTAATAGGAGTGCCATTCAAAATGTTTCACCTGTTCAGAGGACAAATAAAATGCTGAAGACTTTGTTGCACAATGACATGTTGGTGAGATAATTACATATCCTTATTCAAAGTATAGATAATTATATATCCGTATTCAGAAGTATCTGCATGTAAATAAATTTCCTTCGACAGGTTAAAAACTCCCATACTAAAATAAAGTACAAAAAAGTATACTTTAATGCTACTTTTATGCTATATAAATTTGTGCTTTTTAGAAAAAGGTCAGAAAAAGTATACTTTTTTGTACTGGGCCAGATAGCCTCTAAAACCTGATGACATATTTTTGTACTTTATTTGGACTTAGTTTTTTTCCATAGTACTTTTTTGTACTTTTTAGGACTTAGTTTTTTTCCACTGTACTTTGTCTGTAGCTAATTTGGACTTTTTTCACTGTACTAAAAATGTACTTCTCCGGGACTTAAACTTTTTTGGAGAAATAATTAAAATAAGGGTGTACTTTTTTTGTACCTAATATGGACTTAGTCTTTTTTCACTCTACTAAATATTATTTTTCTGGGAACTTTAAATTTCTTCTAAACCAACTCATTTTTTCCTCACATTAAACAGAATCTGAAGAACAAAGTATTGATGTTTTAAACATACAAAACTTCAGTATTTTTATTATGAAAGAAAAACAAAACAAATATAGATTCCATACAGATATATTAGTGTATTTTGATTGATGTAACATTACAATAAAATAATACATTACCCTCAAAGATATCAATGAATATTTAGTTATTGAAAATTAAACTGAGAAATTCACATTATCAATGTAAACATGGTTAAAGCATGGTCAAACAGTATCAAACATAGTTGATGTATCATACAGTACTAGTCACTTGTATCCTAAGACAATTTTCACTGGCTTACTGGTTGGTAGATGCAGTCCTTCTGAATTCAGTTACTCTTTCTCCACTTTATTTGGGATTACCGACACAAAACACAGTCTGTCACTAACTGTAACGCAAACACAAACATCGGTTATGTCTTTTACATTAATTGCTGTAAGCTGTCCTGAGCTTGGTTTCAATGTAACCATGTGTCTGTGAAAAGTGCTGCGAGGGACATGGTCTTGCACTTCAGCTGATCTTTCCATTACCCTCACCAAGGCGTAGAAGGACGGTCCACAACACTTCTCATTACAGTCTGATGAACAGAGTGTTGTAAGTTTCACAAAACAATGCACTCGTCCAAAACCATGTCCATTAAAGTGAATCACAGAATTGTCCCTTCTGAAAGTGGACTTGTACTCAACACAATGTACAATCTGCTGATGAGCATAGAGTCGTTTAAAAAACATAACTGAATGCACATTTCCACACACTAGAAAAATTGCATGTTGCTCTTCTGTTGTCAAAGGCCGAGAATGGTATGCCCCAACAACAAACACCTTATCACATATTCTGTCACGTGTTGATTGATGCTTCCTGTCCATCATTTTTTGGAATAACTCCTGCTCGCAGCTTCCATAAGGTAAAACTTGGGCCATCTTTGGGAGACTTTGGTGAACACACACTGCAAACGCAATTTGTTGTTCAATTCGCTGAGTTCCATGAAAAAGTCGTCTTAGTTGTCCATTGAAGTCCTCGAAATAAAAACATGATGAAGACCAGAGGGGACCCAGGTCAAGAACTCTGTCCGTCAAATGGAGGAGAAGATGAATGTTGGAGGTTGAATATCTGTCTCCATACAGGGCTGGAATGTTTAAAACAAATTCCAAGAGCATTCTTTTCTTTTGGACTGAAGAATGTCATCAGTGGTGATTTTCTCCTGAAGAAGAATGTATGTGGCATACACCAGGAGTGAGAAATGGTGAAACTGGTCCTTGGGCAGAATACCAAAAAGACATGGCAAGCTGTAGAACAGGAGAAAGTTTTTCAGCTCTGCAGCCTTAAAGTGAGAAATTTCACTCAAGGATCTTAGTAATCTCGCTAGTTTTATTGATAATAAGCGCTGGTCCACTTCTGTGACTCTTGATGAAATACTGTAAATGTCTCGTTTGTGAGATTTGTCGAACCACAATGTTGCAAGCATTTTAACCACTCCAAGCAGAATACAATGCATGTAATCTATAGCAATTCCTCGAATATTGTCGAAGAACGGTAGGTATGAAAACCATGTAAGTCCCTTAACACCTTGAATTGTCCCTTTGCTTCGTTCTGCTTCTTCTCCATTTCGCACATGAGTATTGTTGCTTCTTAGATCATGGTGACCACTTGGACTATCCATATTAAACGGGTATGAGAGCGTGTGACCCCTCTCACTGGTTTGGACATATTTTCCTGGAGCATAGCAATATGGACAGCCAAAAAATCCATTGAATTGAACCATGTTCTGAAACAGGCATCTTGCTGGCGAGTCAAACACTCCATTCAATAGAATTCCTCTGATCAGCTGACCATTTACATCAAATCCTAAAATAAATCAAAAATAAAATGTATACTGGTTTCATTTGCTATATCTTGTGGACATCATAGTTTAAAGACTGATATTTTTCTACTAATTTTTATATAATGTTTTATAGTTTTTGATTTTATGAAAAAATAATGCCTGAGATTATCTCAAATGTCACAACTTCGAGCAAAAATTGGCTTAGACAGTCAAGTCATATCCTGGTTCATAATTACCAAATATTTAATTCAAAAAATGCTTTATAAATTATAATTTAGCTTGTTGTCTGGATCATATGGACACAGACAATCAGACAAATAGCCACAATGTAATGAAGTTACATTACTGACATACCTGAACTGTAAATTTCATGAAGACTCTCAGCAAAAGGTTTAAGAAATGTGCAGAAATCAGGTTTGGAATAACCAAACCATAACCTTGCAAATATTCGGTTGGTCCTGGAAAATCTGGAAGAATACAGTGAATAAAAGTCCCTGGTAAAGGTCAGAAAATAAAAAAAAGAATTCATTACATAAGAAATTATAATATTACAAAAGAAATTATAATATTACAAATTCTAGCATTTATATTTATGAATTACTAAACAAAAATCCTTATTATAATATAAACAAGGGGCCCAAGGGCCTTAACGGTCACCTGACTATCATACAACAATTTAGAGGATCCATAGAGTATAAAATGAACTGAAAGGTGAAGCTTTGTTGCCCGAAAGCAAGAAAAATAGGGTGATCAGGATCAACAAAATAATTAGTCTAGTTTTCATTAACACTTCATAAATTAGGTTCTAAGCTGTTCCCCATTTATCACGCTCACCAAACAGTATATAAACAACCTATCAGTGCTTTTGTACTCTTTTAACTCCTTGTTGATAACTCTTACATTGGCCTCTCTTGGTCTTTGATAAACATTTAATAAGACAAGTTTTTTTTGTCTCATTTTTATTTATCTATTACTTTCAAGCCTACGTGATCATTAAAACTATAAAAGTCCTTTTTGTATTATACAATAAAAATTCTTGCATAATTCTCTTATTCTCTTTCCCTTTCAAGTACATTATTTACAGTGATTAATTATCACAAGTAAATCGCAAAGGGGAATAACTCCTCGCAGTAGAATACAAATTAAGAGCCCTGGCCTGGACCAGAACATTTGACCAAATGGTCCTGATGTTCGAAATCTGGTAAAAATACCCTTCCTTATTAAAACTTTTACTCTTTTTGCCTCTGATATGCTCAGGAGCATAACATCAGAACCTCTGATCCAGGGGTCATGAATTTCACAATTTTGGAAGAGGCATTCTTGCTTATCATAACCATGTATTTGTTTAAATAATACCCAGGAGAAGATAAGATTTTCAAAGAAATAATGCACTTTCACTATATGATCTATATAGCCCCGCCCTAGCACCAGAACCCCTGACCATGGGGTCATGAATTTCACAATTTTGGTAGAGTCACCTTTGCTTATCATAACTATGTATTCAATTTGTTTCAATAATACTCAGGAGTAGAGAAGAAGATTTTCAAAGAAATAATGCACTTTCACTATATGATCTATATAGCCCAGCCCTAGCACCAGAACCCCTGACCCTGGGGTCATGAATTTCACAATTTTGGTAGAGTCACCCTTGCTTATCATAAGACTTTCAAAGAAATAATGCACTTTCACTATATGATCTATATAGCCCCGCCCTAGCACCAGAACCCCTGACCCTGGGGCTATGGATTTCACAATTTTGGTAGAGTCACCCTTGCTTATCATAACTATGTATTCAATTTGTTTCAATAATACCCAGGAGTAGAGGAGAAGATTTTCAAAGAAATAATGCACTTTCACTATATGATCTATATAGCCCCGCCCTAGCACCAGAACCCCTGACCCTGGGGCTATGGATTTCACAATTTTGGTAGAGTCACCCTTGCTTATCATAACTATGTATTCAATTTGTTTCAATAATACCCAGGAGAAGAGAAGAAGACTTTCAAAGAAATAATGCACTTTCACTATATGATCTATATAGCCCCGCCCTAGCTCCAGAACCCCTGACCCTGGGGCTATGGATTTCACAATTTTGATAGAGTCACCCTTGCTTATCATAACTATGTATTCAATTTGTTTCAATAATACGCAGGAGTAGAGAAGATTTTCAAAGAAATAATGCACTTTCACTATATGATATATATAGCCCCACCCTAGCACCAGAACCCCTGACCCTGGGGTCATGAATTTCACAATTTTGGTAGAGTCACCCTTGCTTATCATAACTATGTATTCAATTTGTTTCAATAATACCCAGGAGTAAAGAAGAAGATTTTCAAAGAAATAATGCACTTTCACTATATGATCTATATAGCCCAGCCCTAGCACCAGAACCCCTGACAATTTTGGTAGAGGGCTCAATGCTTATTACAATCATGCCAACAGTTTGACTGCTTGATATCCAGGAGTAAAGAAGAAGATTTTTAAAGATTGCATTAATTTTTATGGTTTTGGCCCCACCCCTCAGGCCCCAGGCTGGCAGGGACCATGAAATTCACAATTTTTGTTCCCCATCACCCATAGATGCTATATCCCAAAATTGGTTGAAATTGGTTTGCTGGTTCCAGAGAAGAAGCTGAAAATGTTCAAAAGTTTACGACCGACGAACGACGACTGACGAAAAGAGATAGCAAAAAGTCACCTGAGTGACTCAGGTGACCTAATAAATATTGTCTTGGTTACTATTTTACCACTCATTTACATAAATGAACCATAAAAAAGAGCAAATACCTACCTTAGGTGTGGTGGAAGCTCGTTAATGATGAAGTACACAGGCCAGATGCTGAATGATGAGGAGTGAAACAGGGAGACACCATCAGTATTTATCTGCAAGGAAATGTGGAGCTTTCCTTCATCCTTTGTGCTGCCATGGAAAAAAGCCATTATTGTCAAACCTCTCTTTGTACAACTGGCCATCCATGATGTCTGTTATTTCTCCATCTATTCGCTGATGTTTTCTTTTCTGCTCTAAAATTGCTTGTGCTAATGTTCCATCTAAAAAAACAAGAAATTCATAGTATTTAAATTTCATCAGGCAACAACATAAATACTTCTTCCACTCCACTATTTTGATAAAAAGTGAAAAAAACATTTCATTAAGTGATAAGAAAAATCTTCAAATTTTGTTTTTATTAGGATAAATATACTTATGAAATTGATTGACAGAATGATGTATTGTGTGTACAAATAAAGTTGATGCTTTATAATCATACTATACCTGCAAATAATGATGACAGTTGCAAGATGATTGGAATGACCAGGAAGTAGGAACTTGAATTCTTCTTAGTGGGATGATGACAGATGGGACAGGAGTTCTGCTGCACCTCGCCGTGTTATGTGAAACATTTTTCACAATAAAAATGAAACTGGAGTGGTGACTCCAGGTTCCGGAAAAAGTCTTTGAAAGTCTTGAAGTTTGTCTCGCATAAGTTGGGTGTAAGGCAATGAACCTCAATCAGTACAAGAAGATCGGCTAATGCTTCTCCAGTGAGGGCATGTCTCATTGCAAAGGAAATGAGAAGAATCATACTGGCAGCCAATGTTATCTTTGCTCCAGGGTACAAAGGCTGGTTAGCACCAGATGAATAACCTAAAAATGTAACAATAAATCTACTGTAAATTGCTTTGTTTTTTTTTCTTCTAAATATGAGGAGAAGGAAGAATAGGCCAATGGGTTACAAACTGCTCATCTAAGAAACTATGGCCATTCTTGTTTTTCACAAACAGAGTCCTTTTTCTATATAATCCTATGTAAAACTTCATCATCTATTGATGGTGGAGTTGGGGGTGGGGGTGGCGATCATAATTTGAACAAACTTGAATCTACACTTAAATTTTTATCTCGGAATGCTTCCATATAAAAATGTCTGATCATGGCTTTGCTGTTAACAAGAAGATTTTTTAACATTTCTCCTATATACATTTAAAACATTTTTTGCCCTTAGTGGTCCCATCCTAACCAATAATCATGAATCTATTAAGTTTTCGCTTATAATTTTCTTATTTTTCTCACTTTTATTCAGTTCTAACAATAAGTAAAAACTCAGGACCATAATAAACTTGTTTTAATCCATCTTTAAACATTATAGGCAATGCAAATATGTTATTGGTAAATAAACAAATTGAAAACTGTAATCAAATTGTTGTTTTAATTGTTTGTTTTTGTTTTTTAAGTAGAGATGAAAGCCAGTGAAAGGCCTCTTCTTTGGTGTGATATATAAATACAGTATTAATTAGTTTATGGTGGGGCAAGCAAGAATTCAGGTGGGGCAATGTGAATTTTGACCATGCCTAAAAAAAATCTATATAGAAGCCCCTGAATCATTACACTCATATCAGACATTTAACAATTTTCTTTAAATAAGAAATTTCCTCTGTCATATAAAGGGACAAATTTAAGCCATTTCAACTGCAGAGTTGGAAAAATCACTCTGTTTTCATGTTCTATATGTTCATCAATGTTCGTGGGGATCAATGTTCACTGATTTTGTGAATCACCCTTATCCACAAATTTACATCCCCACAAACAATTACTGAGTCAACATATTATACTTTGAATCTTCTGTATATACGACTTACCCATGAAAGTAGGTCACTACAAATTGATAATATTTCGCTTTTCAACATACATTGATGACCCCCACACATTAAAAATGATTCTACAGTTGATGACTCCACAAAAACTAATCAGATTTTAATAGGATCAGATTACAGGTAAAACACACATGGGCAAGGTCATTATCGATCATAATCTAAATTGACTTTTGGTGGTGCGGGATTCGTTATCAAATAAGAAAAAAAAAGTTTGATTTTTTTTTTTCAAGTTTATCGTGTTTATATACATCTCGACTTCTGGGTATGAATCAGTTTATATGTATATACAGCAATACCAGCCAGTTTATAAAGAGGTGACTGGAAACAAAGAATGTTGTGAAAGAATATTTCAATGTTCAATAAAAGAGTTTCATGTACCTTCATTGCTATCTGCATTTTGGTTTTCATCAACATCGTCATCTTCAAAGTCTGCATCCGCCATGTCCAAGTGATCGGTAGGTGGATCTGACAAAGCAGGGTCCTCCACGTGGTTTGGCCATACCTATGATGTAAATTGTTATTTGATAAAACATAGGAACATGATATTTACGCATAACATTGAGAAATGATCGCAACTTTGTTCTTTTACATAAAAATATAAATATCTCCATACAACACTTGTATTACATGCGTAAACATTAATATTCCTTTCTTATTACGAAAATATGGTTTTAATTGGGCTTATCACTTTAATTTTTTTCTTTATTTCTTGAAAAATTATGCATACCGAGTTCATAACTCTCTTGTGAGAGTCTTCGATCTCCGAAGAGGAGCGAGTCATTTCATCATCTGTCTCATCCGATTGCGGCATTGTTTGTTCGGTTGGACTGCTTCTACCAGTGTCATATACTTGACGCATACGCCATAAGGAAACTCTAGGAACCTCTACAGAGTTGTCTGCGGAATAGACTTTATATCTTCCACGTGTTCTCCCCGGGGTCTACCCACTAGTCCGAAGGTTCATTAGTCCGACGGCCTACTAGTCCGAAGGTTCATCAGTCCGACGGCCCACTAGTCCGAAGGTTCACTAGTCCGAAAGCCCGCAAGTCCGAAGGTTCACTAGTCCGATTAAAAAAAAGGTTAAGAACTTTTTGTTTACATATCATAGCAAGGAGCGATATATATTGCTTTAAAATTATATCCTTTTATGGAACATATATACGTTTGTTAATTATCAATATAGATATGATTACAGGTGAAGTTCGCCCAGTTATATATCGATATGTTAATTTTCTACTATTTTTTGTAGGTTTTCAGTTGTCGTTAACTCCGATTTGAATATACAGTGAACAATTTTCACACACGTTTTATTACACTTCAAGCGTATGCTTAAGCGAAAAAAAGACTAAAGCTTTCTAAAAGTGACCGGGAGTTACATAATCTTGTGCCCTTTACGCTATACCAACAAGAATTGTGTTGGAAAAAACCTAACTTTTGCGTTGTGCACATGAGAGCAGGAATGCTGCAATGAATTCCTCAAAGTCTTAATCACTATAGAATTTATAAATCTCATCTAATCAGATCATGGTATTGTAAGTCATATATTTTAGATTTTGGTCAAAACACGTCATGGATATTTGGGGAATAGACAAAGTCTCCACTGCATAATGAATGCACAGATTATCATAAATTTAAAATAGAATCTATTGAATTCTATCCTATTTCATTTTATGCAACATATTTCTTCATTTTCCCGCAGCATTAAATATCCCGAATTATTTTTTATTTGGAATTCTCCTTTCACTCATATAAAGTTTTGCTTTAATGATAATTTTACAAACTAGAGAACTCTAATTTGAATTGCAAACAAGTTCAGGACTTTTTTCTTAAATTTGGACACAAATCAACTTTTACATTTTGACATTTTTTTTTTCGAGGAGTGAAAGGCATTCATCCCAGTTGAACATGTATCTCTTTTATTAAAAAGTCATTGAGATAAATCGTACACGTAAGACTTAGTTATTTACAGCATTTAACTTTGCGATATAACGTTTTTCACCCCCTCTTAGCAAGATCTTATTCCAGAGGAGGATTCAGTTCCTTTCCCCGTTAGAGACTTTTTTTCCGTTTGTTTGTTCAACTTTTATATATGCTCTCAATTTAGTCCTCAAATAATGTTCTGGCTCTTAGTATAAGGACTGATTTAAAATGTTTCTCCAAAAATTCTACCCCCAACCCCCAACCCCACCCCCAATTTTCCACTAAATAGGTTTAAGGATAAATAACACAAACTTTTTTCCAGAAATCAGCAAAATTTCTCATATACATTTATATTTAAATAGGTAGCCTGAAAAATGTTTATCCAGGTAAAATGGCAGAAATATGTATTAAGATTCTATCACGATATTAAAAATGTGTGCAAAATTTTGTATAGAATTTCATAGAAAAGGACAAAAAACCGCATATCTAAGCACCAAAGAAACTTACAACTTCTTAATACTTAAGGGATTTATTACTGATGTCATGAAATATGTGGAGATAACGAACAGTATTTCTTGGAATTTTTTTAGTATCCACATCTGATTTACACCCCTTCTCGAATATATTGTTGCACAGTACTCTTAAAGTCTCTCCTTCACTACTGTTAATATCTTAGTGAGGAGTAAAGAAAGAGGCTTTGTAGAACATTTACATGAACCCGCTATGTATGTTTGTAAGGATTTTTATGAAGTTTCGGAATCCATTATAGATATGGTAATTCAAATTCATTTTGGTTGTCGGGAATATTAAAAATATTCAAAACTGACATGATTTTGAAGAATTTCCTCCTTAGAAAGGGAGCTATGTGTAAAAGTTGGATTACCACTTCTAGAATTAAATCCTAATTCCTCTAAAATACAATTTATATAATGAACTGACTAACAAAGAAAATGTTGTTACCTGTTTTGTCAGCAGGGACCAGTACGTACTGGTCCTGTAATCTAATTATTTTTTCACTTCTGAATTATTGAATACAGAGGGATAGACGGTTTTCATACTGCCCCTCAATCGTTTAATGCGAGATTTTAACATAAGGTGAATTCACCATGCATCGGACACCCTCGCACTTCAACAAGATCTAGCGATATCACTATCCACCGAATATTATCAAAATGGAGCTTAACATGTAGAAATCACTATTGTTTACTTTTGTGGAGAAAATACTTTCAAATAAAGTGTTCAGTTAATTCATCTTGGCCTTTTTAAAATGTTAAGGATACTAAATTGATTACAAATGGAGTACTTAATAAAGATTTTTTTTTTCTTCTGAAAGGTCCGCTGGGTAGTGGAATCGGCTAACGCCCGAATAAAGAGGTGGAAGTACTTAGATAAGGTTCTCCCAACAAATCAAGTTCCTCATATCGGAGATTATATAAGAATCATTTGTGCCATTTCAAACAAGTTCCTTCCTCCACTTTCATCAGGTATAATTATATATATGTACTTTACATAGCTTATATGTAATACGTATTCTATACAACTTCATTTTGACTGCTGTAAAGAAATATATTTTGTCATTCGGTGATTATTTTTCAAATATATCATTCGTTGATTTCAGCTCATGATGACGATTTTGCTGTGGCAGCAAAAATGTTATACCTCAGCTGTCAAGTAAACACATTGAAAGAACGTGTCGAGAAAGAAAATCTACATAGCAGAAAAACAACAATGTGGACAGATGCATCTTCTGTTCAAGATTTTCCAAAGCTATCAGAGGAACAGCTTCGTGAAATAACATGTGGGACCTACCAACTCAAACTTTCAAAATTCTACATCCAGGAGCACCTAGAGGGAAATCAGGACATCCTTGTCCACAAAGAGGACCCCCACCTACTAAAGGTGAAAATGCAAAGTCGCCATGTTTCATCCAAGTCTCATGTCTTGTGGATATCTTACAATGCAGCAGAGGTATTTATAATTGTATTATTTGCATGGCAAATGTAAAAAAAAAATTAAATGTTCAAGCAACTAGAAAGCACTGTTGAATTATAAAATCAGTTCAATCTTTTTAAAATTTTGTCAACAAAAGTATTTAATTTCATATTCAGGTAACAGCGTGGTATTGTCTTTGCAAGACAGGCGCAAGAGTGGTCGGTGTGTGTGCACACGTTGCATCCATACTCTGGTATCTTGGATATGCCAGGCACATGCAGGGCATGGACAACATCGGTATAAGGGATTGGGCCGCCTATGTTGAAGATGCAGCCAACATTCCAGAGACGATAGACACTTCCGACAGCGATGACAGTATTTGCGAAGAATAAAAAGCATATACAGTTTCACTTCTGCATTTTTACTTATTTTCAAAGTCATATTTCCCTGAAATATTTTATATTTCACCTGTTCCTTCCAGGTGAGCGTTTCTGATCTATTTTTTTCTTTCTATCCGTCTGCCTATATAGTATATTTATAAACATATACATGCAATAATGTCTACTAATATTATCACATTGTCGACTTTTTCCCGAGAACCATAGGACGAAATAGATAAAAACTATGTGAAATTTTCCCGACGAAGTGTTGATTCAAGTTTCTCAAAAAATTAATGGTAACCCATTATTTTTTTTAATTGCCCAGTATGACACCCTATGTAAGTGTAAGTCGTTCCACTTCATTTTTATTCACCGTGCAGCTGTTTTAAAGAGTTTATGATTGGTAAAAAAAATATTGCTAAATAAAATGAAACAGCAGTGTTATTGGATTAAATTAATTATACGTAGGTATGCGAGAAATTTTAAGTTAATACATATTTACCCTCCTAGCTACTAGTGCACATGTATATAAGGGAGTAATGCATTACATGTCTCGTACAAATCTGCAGTGTATCGGCGTCATAGTATAGTTAATATATGCTTATAAGAAAAGTTAAGCACTTCAACTGATCATAAAAATAGCTTCAATTAGAAAATTGAAATTTTTTTCATCCCATGTTTTAGAGTTTCGAAGAAAAATGCAAGAATTTGCCCAATTTAATAAAGTAGGCATATGTTTATGAAGTCCATTTCATTTATGAAACCTTTTTATAATAATGTAACGAGGGTTTGTCCTTAAGTAATGTTACAACTGCTGTAAAATCATTAATTATCGGGTTTTCAACAAACCTTTCTATGCTAATACCTCTACCTATTTAGATTTTTGTCCTTAATTACTTCATACAATTATTTTACAATAAACACAACGTTGGGTCTTCTCTATCTCTGCACGGTAAGAATGTAATAACGTCGTTATGACGTTTCTTCTCGGCATGCTCTCTTTTTCAATCTGATGAAGCATAAGAGTTACACAAAAAGGAATGAATTTAGAAAACTTTTGGATAAAGTTCAAATAATTTTATTACTACAACTCAGAACAAGATTGTTTATGACAAAATAGCAGCAAATATATATAAAAAAAGAAGCAAGTGAGAAGTTAAAAAGATACACGGATGAAATGAAAATGAAGAAACGTCATATGAAGACTCCGGTACATTCTTGCTGTGACTATAGGAAAAAAAACTAATGTCGTGTTTATGATAACATTTGAGAAATTACTAAATAAAATTCAATGAATTTAAAAGCAAAAAATCCAAATAAATTAGGGTAATACAATGTCAAATGTTGTTGATAACCTTTGAGTATTAAAGATTTGGTAGAAGTTGTGATATTACTTTTGGGTCAACCGTCGTAATATCATTATGTAGTGCTGTATATAACGTCAACGTCATGACGTTATAGTATTCATTTGGAAAAAAAAAAACAATACCCAATTTAAAAGACCGTAAAAAGAAAACTAGAAAAGGTGTTGTTAAAAAATAAACTCTTTTAAGACCTACAAATTCTTGACTATTATATGAGAACGTTTTGTTTATTTTGGTGACTAGGCCGATTTTGGCACTTCGTGGCTCTAGCTCTTTAACAGACATAAACCAATGCTTTATACCATCTTCACTGATTTACTCCTATAATGTGATAAACTCTATAAATGTACTAACAGAATAGTAATATTCAAACAAATCATGAAGTTTGGGTAATCCAAGCTGATCTTAATGAATTACCTTGGTACACACATAAAAGTGTTTTGATTTATTTCTATCTCGAAGAACTTCCTCGTTCAGTTGATAGGCTGGTCTGCCACACATGCGTATCCACCGTTTACATTTCTCAAGATTAGTCGCAGGTTTGGGGAAAGGAATGAATTTAATCCCACCAGTTAATCTCTCAGGATATCTACTATCTGTGTTGCATGTGATATAGTTGTAAGCGTAGTGTTATTAAAAATTCTTCTTCTGATGATGATGACGTCGGGGTAGAATGCCTTGGATCGATTGTTGTGGTGTCTGGACTATAAAGAGGGGAGAGAGGGATGCCGGGTGGGTGATACTGTGAACGTCTTCGTGCCCTGATGAATATATTTATTTTTACAGATACTGCATCTATAACAATAAAAAAGATTAGGGCAATTAAAATCCAATCTGTAAAAAAATATATATATATTTTTTAAAAATCAATGAGGATTAAATAGACACCCTCTATAAACATATATAATATCATGCATGCTTCTTTTCATTTTTTTTTTCTTTCAGATTTTAAACTATCATTGTCAGAATTATTTAATGCTACCTGTTGAATCAACGATAATATTCACATTTATTTTAAAATAAAATTATCTTCTAATTTCATTTAAAAAAATGAAATATATTACCGTTGATAACTCTAACTCTTAACAAAGAAACCAATTTAGAAATGAAAGGAAGAAATTACCTTCAATTAATGATGAATCTACAGAATGTTGATGTGGCGTATTTGTAGATGGAGTATATGTAAGTGACGTGAAGATGTCCTAGGTTAATGGATTCGTCGATGAAGTTTTTGTAGGTCCTGTTGATGTAGATGGAAATGAAAATGGAGATGTTTTTGGCGAATGCTTAGATGGTGTTTTGACGAAAGCGTCGGTCGTAGGAAACAAAGTTGGGTTATCTGTAAAAATAAAAATAACATACTTTTGTCAACATTTTTTTATTTTAATTATTAATATAACAAACTTAACAATTTTTTTTCCAGTTTCTTTGTATGAAATTTTTCATGCAATCTTAATATTTACATTTGATTAAAATTAGATTGTGCTCTTCTTTTATTTACAATCATTCGGTGTATAAATACAATTTATAGTTTCTCTGTATGGATCTTTCATGTAATCTTGTTGAGCTTGTTCAGAACCGAATTTACAAAATGAATTTAATTTCCGATTTTTTTTTGGGGAGGGGGGGGGGGGGTTGTAAAAACACTAAAGTTATCTAGGGCATTATCTTACATTGAAAATATTTGTATTCACTATCATTGCAGTCACAGTAACACATACTTTTATAGTTATCTGCCCTTGTTTCTGGTTTATTTGATTTTAACTTTCACTTTCAATGTAAACACGCTTTAAGACTGTTTAGGATTGTTTGATAAAGAAATGATTTAAAAAATTGATTAATAATTTAATATACAAAATGAAAAGGACAGGAGTACTTTGGAGTTGATTATTTGTGAGGGTATATATAACCGGCCATCTAAAACTATATCGCGTTAGGACAACCACCCATGCAAATTTAATTGCTTCAGCCCCACTACCCATAAAAAAAATATATGAAGTGCCTTCCAGCCCCCCTCCCCCCATACATTTTTTCCTGGATAGCCCTAAAGAGAATTGTGTAAAAACAACAAAATAAGAACTGGGTACATTCTTTAAAAACATTCTGTGAAAGGATTACCAAAAATGTTCACATTAGATTTACAAAAATGTTTCAAAGTCTGCAAGAGCAAAAGAAATTATAGGTAACTAAATATATTGATTTTTGTCATGAACAAGAGTGTACACATAACTGCACAAACAGGATGCATTTGAGAACTGCGTCTACATTGTACAATGTTAATGTTAGACTTGAGCATTATGTATGAGCATGATATTTTGCAAATCAAGTTACTCAGTTTATGAAATATCAGATCTTTTAGTTGGACGAGTCAGTTGTATCTGACACAGTTAAAACTAAATACAAGTCCATAGGACTTGAATGTTGCACGCAGGGTTCATTAATATCAAGTAAATGAAATAGTTTTGTTTTTGAAAGTGCACTTACCAGAAATTTAAGAAAAGCAAGGTTATCAAAGAAGTTGGTCAAAGAAATTTTGTGCACTTGAAAGCTTTTACCCATACATGTTGGGAAATGGGGTTTGAAAGAAATAAATTGATATCTTTCTTTTAAATAGAGCTGAATTCATAAAGAGATAAAAAGGTCAGGAAAACTGAGGGATGGAAGACAGGCTGGACCAAATACAATATGGCTGAAAAATTTAGTCCATTTTCGATTTCTTTGCAGGGTTGATCTTTTGTCTGAAAAGTTGAAGAAATTATGAATGAACATTAAAGTAGCATGATAATACTTATGAAATTTTGTCAAAATATATTCCTTTAAGAGCTTCTTTAAAACTAGATTAAAATTAGAATGTTTAAGTTTTTTATAATGATAAGTCTGGAAGGCCAACATTTTTTTTTTACTTTTAGGTTTACAAACCCTCTGCTGAAGTTTTTGAATTTGCAGAAAAAAAAATAAAATTGACAAAAATGGGATTCTTTTTCTTTGCGATGTTGAATTTGAGTTGGGATTGAGATTTCAAATTTACGAACTCGTACTTCCGATTAAAGATAAATATGGTGGGTAAATTGAGTAGATCTGTAGGGTGTATAGCAGCATCACAGCTTGGTTTAGGGTAAAAATTGTCAATAGGAGTGCCATTCAAAATGTTTCACCTGTTCAGAGGACAAATAAAATGCTGAAGACTTTGTTGCACAATGACATGTTGGTGAGATAATTATATATCCATATTCAAAAGTATAGATAATTATATATCCGTATTCAGAAGTATCTGCATGTAAAAAAATTTCCTTCGACAGGTTAAAACTCCCATACTAAAATAAAGTACAAAAAAGTATACTTTAATGCTACTTTTATGCTATATAAATTTGTGCTTTTTAGAAAAGGGTCAGAAAAAGTATACTTTTTTTGTACAGGGCCAGATAGCCTCTAAAACCTGATGACATATTTTTGTACTTTATTTGGACTTAGTTTTTTTTCCATAGTACTTTTTTTGTACTTTTTAGGACTTAGTTTTTTTCCTCTGTACTTTGTCTGTAGCTAATTTGGACTTAGTCTTTTTTCACTGTACTAAAAATGTACTTCTCCGGGACTTAAACTTTTTTTGGAGAAATAATTAAAATAAGGGTGTACTTTTTTTTGTACCTA